CTGTCCGAGATCTTTCATTTCAAATTCGCCTTTTAGTAAAGTGACTGCTTTTTGAATTTTATTTGTAGTCCCAATAATATTAAGATCATCGACATAGACAGCAATTATCACAACTCCATCTTGTGATCTTTTTATAAAAACACACGGGCATATTTGATTATTTATGTATCCCCGTTTAAGCAATTGTTCACTCAAATAATTGTACCACATACGCCCAGATTGTTTCAAGCCATACAATGATCTTTGCAGCTTTATCGCACATAACTCTTTAGGTTTGGACTTTAGTGCTTCGGGCATTCTAATTCCTTCTGGAATTTTCATATAAATGTCAGCGTCTAGTGATCCATATAAGTAAGCAGTCACAACATCCATAAGACGCATCTCAAGATTTTCATGGATGGCCAAACTAATCAAGTATATGAAAGTAATCGCATCCATAACAAGGGAATATGTTTCATCATAATCGATCCCAGGCCTCTGGGAAAATCCCTATGCTACAAGGCGAGCTTTATATCTTGTGATCTCATTTTTCTCATTTCTTTTTCTGACAAAAACCCATCTGTACCCAATAGGTTTTGTGTCTTTGGGTATAATGGTAATAGGTCCAAACACCTTTCGTTTATTAAGCGAATTTAACTCGGCTTGAATAGCATCTTTCCACTTGTCCCAATCATGTCTTTTCTGACATTCAATCATAGATTTTGGTTCAGGATCCTCAACTTCTTTGTCAATTTCTTGTGATACCATATATGCGAACGCATCATCAATGATCCCATCACGCTTCCAAAGTTTCCCATTATTTACATAATTGATGGAGATTTCAATATTTTCATTTCGTTCTGAAATTTTTCCATCATCTTGATTCTTTTTCAAATTCGAATCTTGAATTTCTCTTTTCTCGAGGATTCTTATCTTTAGACCCCACTGGCCTTCCTCGTTTTAATCGTGCCTTTAACTCATTTGGCATATCGTCATTTGCCGTTTCTTTTGGAATCTCAATTCGAGCAGGGGCATTTATAGCTGCAACATGTGATTTTGTCACCCTTTTTGTGTCAGTAAATGCATCTTGCAATTGATTTGCAATATTCTGCAGATGTATGATCTTTTGAACTTCTTGTTCTCTTTGTTTGATGGGAGGATCAAGATATGATAGTGATGATGTTCTCCATTCAATATTTTTCTCAATTGACTTTTCATTCCCACCTAAAGGGGGAAATAATTCTTCATTAAAATGGCAATCATCAAACCGAGCTGTAAAAACATCACCTGTTTTTGGCTCAAGGTATTTTATTATTGATGGAGATTCATATCCTACATATATTCCCAACCTTCTTTGAGGCCTCATTTTCGTACGTTGGGGCGGAGCAATTGGTACATACACTGCACAACCAAAAATTCTTATATGTGCAATATTTGGTTCTCGACCAGATGCCAACTGTAATGGCGAGTATGTATGGTGTGCACTTGGTCTTATGCGAATTAGATTATCTGCATGCAGAATAGCATGTCCCCATACTGAAGTGGGCAGTTTTGTCCTCATTATCAGTGGTCTGGCTATAAGCTGCAATCGTTTGATCAATGATTCTGCTAGACCATTTTGAGTATGAACATGTGCTACAGGATGTTCAACATCAATTCCCACTGCCATACAATAATCATTCAATGCTTGAGATGTAAATTCTCCAGTATTGTCCAGTCTGACCCTTTTGATAATATAATCTGGGAATTGAGCCCTTAATTTGATAAGTTGGGCAAGCAATTTAGCAAATGCCACATTTCTAGTGGATAACAAACTCACGTGAGACCATCTACTAGAAGCATCAATTAACACCATAAAATATTTGAATGGACCACAAGGTGGATGAATAGGTCCACATATATCACCATGAATTCTTTCCAAAAATAACGGTGATTCATGTCCGATTTTAGTATGTGATGGTTTTATTATCAATTTCCCTTGAGAACATGAGGTACACGTCAATTCACGTGTTTGCAATATCCTCTGATTTTTTAACGGATGTCCACTAGAATTTTCAATAATTCTTCGCATCATTATCGAGCCAGGATGACCAAGTCTATCATGCCAAAGTTTAAACATTTCATTCGCCTGTGACTTTGTTGCAGCATAATTCTCAATAATATAAATGCGGGTGTAATATAAGCCCGATGATAAAGCTGGCAATTTCTCCAAAACACATTTATTTCCCGCAACATTTGAGGTAATGCAAAGATATTCAACTCCCCCTTCATTCATTGTTTCAACATGGTATCCGTTCATTCGGATATCTTTAAAACTCAACAAGTTTCTTGTTGATTTCGGGGAGAATAATGCATCATTCAATGTAAACTTTGTACCTCCCATCATAAAAAATATGGCTTTTCCAGAACCCTCAATTATCTTTGCATTTCCAGATATTGTGTTTACTTTTACTTTATTTAATTTCAAGTTGACAAAATATTTTCTGTCCTTGAGTATAGTATGAGTTGTGGCACAATCTGCAAGACATATATCTCCATTTTGAATTCGAGACTGATCCATGATCTAAAAGAAAACAACATTATTATTGATCAAATATAGATACAACTAGTACAAATACGCAAATACAACAAAAACTTAGAAAGCAATAAAAGAAACAGGATAATCAGTTGTTCTCTTGGTCATTTCCAGCTCTTTCTTCAAATACCGTTTCAGCAAAATCCAGATTCAACATGTCATCGATGCCATAGTCATCATCTACACGTGTTGTATTATTTTCAGAGGATTCCCCAACTATAAAATTAGTTTCTACATTTTTATCTTTTGATTTCTGGGAATCATTATATTTATCAACAACGTGTTTCAGAGCACGACAGTTTCGTGCCCAATGTCCCGTCTTTCCAAATCGATAACATGCATTTTCATTATTATTTTCCGTCACATTATTTTGTTCAAATTTTGGCTGAAAATTTCTCTCCCTTTCAAAATTTTGGACATAGCCACGGCCTCGTCCACGATAATTCCCTCGGCCCGAGTTGTACCCTCTGTGAAATTTGAAGCCTTGGTCAAATCGGCGATCTGGGCCATATCCACGGCCACGGCCACGTCCACGTCCACGACCCCGGCCACGTCCCGAGGTATTTCCACGCACATATGTCTGGCTGTTTTCAGTTCCGGTTCCCTGTTTAGATATTACAGCATTTATTTCAGGGACCGCAGTAGACCCCGTGGGTCTAGATTCATGATTTTTCATCAACAACTCGTTATTTTGTTCAGCCAACAGCAAACAAGAAATCAACTCAGAATATTTTACAAAGCCTTTTGCTCTGTATTGTTGCTGCAATAGTACATTTGAAGCGTGGAACGTGGACAATGTTTTTTCCAGCATATCGTAGTCAGTTATGTTTTCTCCGCATAATTTTAACACCGAACAGATGCGGAACATGGCGAAATTGTACTCGTTAACAGTTTTGAAGTCTTGGAAGCGTAAATGCATCCATTCATAACGAGCCCGGGGGAGAATCACCGTTTTCTGGTGATCATATCTTTCTTTTAAGGCTTTCCAGAGATCTGCAGGATCTTTTACAGTTAAATATTCATTTTTCAAAGCCTCATTCAAATGATGCCTCAGAAATATCATTGCTTTAGCTTTATCCTGTATTGATGAATCATTTGGGGAGATTATTATTTTTTCTAATCCCCTTGCCGCCAAATGAATTTCGGCATCCAATGTCCATGAGATATAATTTTTCCCAGATATATCGAGAGCTTCAAATTCGAGTTTGACCAGATTTGCCATGATAACTATAAAATAAAACATCAATGCTTAGATTCAAAAAATTACATATACAATCATTAATTCTTCAAGACGTACAAAAGAGCAAATACTAAACACATTATACAAAGGCCTAATACATAAAATTTAAATTCAACAGTACGATACATCATCGTGAAAATTAGCAAAACGTATATAATAAACAAGATAATGGTAATTATAAGTAATGGATCAGACATTTTTTTTCTTAAAAAGAATATATTTTGAGTGTTTGGATTATGAAAATGAATTGTAGTGTTATATATAGATATTGGTAAATAGCCGTTACAAAAATAACCGTTAACTAGCCGTTGGAAACAAATTTAATGATATAATATTTGCTAATTAATCATTTATGATCATAAAATTCTAATTAATCATGTATTTTACCTTAAAAATTTACCGAGTCATTACATAAACAATTTAATAAATAGCAAATCAAATAAAAATGTTACTCCACACTACTCGATAAATCTTTCGGTGGGTACAAGAATAAGCAGTTATAAATTTCACGCTACATTACTGGGTAAACCATTTTTGTGGGTGTTAAGTATAAATAATAACATTTATTATAACTTGAAAAATAATTCATAAGCAAATTTAATAATATCATATCACCACATATTATTGACTATGGCATAGCCTAATTTGCCAATAATAATGGTAATGTGTAGATAATATCATATTTAGTATACATATCTTGACTTCGGCAGAGCCTAACTTGTCAAGAATAATAGTAATATATATATATTTTTTACTGTGGCAGAGCCTAACTTGTCAAAAATAATAGCAATATGTATATATATCCTTGACTGTGGCAGAGCCTAACTTGTCAAGAATAATGGTAATATGTATATATATCCTACCTTTCTTGACCGGGTAGAGCGTTCGTGCTGATAACGTGTTATAAAATGCGAGAAATATAAAGAACACAATGTGAAAACCGAATATAGATTATAACAAGCTTTTCTCTCTTTCTTTCTCCTTATTTTTCGTAAAAACAATGAACCATTTTCTTTGCCTTTTATAGGCAAAATTTATGCATACAAGCACACATTTCTATACCATGATAAGATAAAATATTGATGGTACTAGTGGTAAAATTCCACTTGTCCATAACAAAAAGAACTCTTGTAACCAACAATGGTCTTATTCAGACTCTTAGACATCTTATGATATTTTATATAATTTTACCTTTTTATTTTTTCCTCACTTCTTGCTCAAAGAAATGACCATATTAAAAAACATCGGCTCCTCTTCCGACAGATGCTTGGCTAGCTTCTTAGCAAACCTTGCGTACAAATCGTCGACTATGGATTTTCCAAAATGAGAAGCTAAAACTGGCTCTGTATAAGCACGAATGAAATTCGAAACAAGCTCGCCCCTTTTGAACGTGTCGACTTTTCCATCAGAATCATCTCCAAGCTTAACATGTGCGTCCCAAGGGATGAAGAAGCCCTCGACCCTGTCCAAATTAAACGACCCTTGTTCGCGGATCAGTGTCTCGACTTCTTGTCTGCTTGGTGTGTATATGGGCATGTTGAACGAATACAAATCAGCCTCCTTGACCAGCTCCTACATTTATAAATCGTAATGGACAAATTGTTAAATAATAAATATATATAAACCACTACCACAAAAAAATGTCATATTCCAAGGGTAAAATGTTTCATCATAAATTCTAATGGATATTGTAATATTATAAGTTTAGTTGGAAATTGAAATAGATATCTCAACACGGAGGCCAACTCTAAAATATTACGTTAGAATTTGTCCATGTAATGTCTGTTGGAATCAGATTATTCCAACAACAATTTTTCCAATAATTTATTGATTTAGAAATTTCTGTTGGAACTATTTTTTCGGTCCATAATTTTACCATTAACAATGGAAAACAACAATAATTTGAATTGAAAATTTACGTAGGAAATAGGAATTTCAGTTACAATATTGAAAAATTCATTGAAATTTTCATTAGAATATAATATGTTATAAGCTTATCATTTTCTTGTAATGAAATGACTTTTATTTATAATTCTAATATTTATTCAGGTATATATATATATATATACCTCTTGAACCATGTCAAGAAGTGTATCTGAGAGCAGTTTGAAGTGCTCGGTTTCATCTTTCGTCGAGGGTTTGTCGACACTTCTGCCGACGAACGTTAGGACCATGTGGGCCCCGACACCCATTTCGGCGGCCCTCGACTCGAGGAATGTAGTGAAATCTGTCTTGTATTGCTTGTAGTAAGCTTCGAATACATCCGGTGGACTTGCCTTGGCCATGTGTATGTTCTCCCTATTATTCTCCAATCCGTGTGGAACCTACAAATCAAACAAATCTAGCTCATCTTTAGTTTTACTACTCATCATACATAACATAACAATTTTAGCAGTAACGTTGTTTAAATAAATTAAATTAGGACCCGAGAGAGCCACTGAAGACTGTAGGATGAGTAAACGAAGTCGAGGGTGTTGCTCGGGACAAGTCTCCCGTAAAACGAGCCTGGCAAGCCGTATACAAACGTGTTCGGGTGCCTAGGATAGAACTCAGGCAGCATCATGAAGAGGTTGTTGAAGTCGTTGCCCGGGAGGTCGTTCAGAAAAACCTCGACCTCGGGCCCACCCGTGCAGCCGTTTTCCTTGCAGAGCTCCTCGATTTTCTCGGTTATGCGCGAAACGAGCAAAAGGGCGTTGGGGCCCGACGAGCAGCCCAAGTCGGCCATCCTGAAGCACTGTTGTCTCTGTCTGGTGAAGCCCTTGCTAAACATGTCTTTCAGGCTCTCATCCAAAACATGCCATGATTTTAGTATCCCTATTTTCTGCACACATAATTAAAATCCCAAATAAATAATGATGATAATAATATGTAACCACAAGTTTACATATGTAGGTGTGTGGTTCTGTCTGTGGAGAGAGAGAGAGAGAGAGAGAACTTGATGTGATGAATTGTTGGTATAGCTGGTTTCACCATTTCCAGTATTCATGTGGACACTAACTCTTTGAGATGCCATTTTTAACTTCTCTTATTTAGGTGTTTAGATGTATATTTTCTTCATGTATCCCAACAAGGCGCAGATAGTCTTGTATATATAGAAGGCAAAAAATCTTTTTCATCATAATACAAAAATATGTTAAGTTTTTCACACTGCTCATTAACAATTTAACTTTTTCACCCAAAAAGTGAGAAAGTTATGCGATAGACTGCATAACTGTCGCATATTCATCGCACAATGCATTCGCACTTTAACTTTTTTTCACCCCAAAAAGTACGAAGGATATGCGAATGTCTTCGCACTTTTAACTTTCGGTCAATGTCAACGCACAATTGTCGCATATTCATCGCACAATATCTTTCGCACTTTAAATTTTTTTCACCTCAGACAATGCGAAGGATATGCGAATGTCTTCGCACTTTTAACTTTCGCACAATGTCATCGCGCAATTGTCGCATATTCATCGCACAATATCTTTCGCACTTTCTAGGGTGAAAAACTTAACTTTTTATTGGGCGGTGTGAAAAACTTAACAATACTTCAAAACGGGGTGAAAATAGCTATTTTCACATAGAAGAAGGTTGGATGCAGGATTCTGACTAGGGCCTACAATAAGTAAATTTAAATTAAATAAAATAATAATGTGTGAGTTATAATATAGGAAGATGCTACTGTCCCATTACAGAATCATTTCGTTGGGATTTGTAACTGTTAGATCAACTACCTCGAATTATTACATGATGATCTAACAGCTACAAACCCAACAGAATGATTTCGTCGGACCGTAGTATTTCCCTTTAACTTTTCTTTCTAATATTTTAAGCATTAAGTTTTTAATTAACAAATCTGTAATATACATGTTATTATACTACTACTACTATTTTACCTGAATAATAATAATCCAGTGTGCTAGTGGAATACATTTTATTTTACAATTTTAGTAGTCAAAAGCCTTATCTGGCCATCCGTCAGTAAGGGGATTTAAGGAAAAATAAAAATTATAATAACAATAATAATTAATAAATAATAATAATCCTCTCTATATATATACTTCCGAATACGTTGAGCCTACGTGGCTGTTTCTAGTGCTTCGAAATCCTATTTGGCAAAGCATCATGCTTCGCAATTAGGTTTAGACAAATAATATTTATATATTAATAATTAATAATCTATGTTCAAACATTCCATTTTAGTTAACTTAGGCATTTTAATATCACTTGTACTAATATAACCCTTTAATTCTTTGTAATTCTACATAGTGAGATACTAAGCTACTAATATATCTCTGACTTTTGATTTGTTTTTTACAATTAGCTATTGAATTTTAAATATATTTTAAAAGTTGATAACTTTTGTATTTCTTATGGGTTTTACATATATAATATGTCAAATTAATCATGTTTTGATGATCTTCGATTTGACATTCATATTGTATATATGAAATGAATAAATTATATTTATCTTTATAATAATAAAAAATAATAATATTTACTAAAAGTCATTAGAAAAATAAAATTATTTCTCAATTAATAAATTAACGTTTAATAGAGTTATGTTGTAAGTTAAAACATTATTATAATATAACACAAGTAAGTGACAAAAATAAAAGTGTCATACTAAATATATAATAATATATTTATTTTTATAAAAATTATTTAAATTTTCAACTATTTTTTCTCATTAATTTTAAATTTTAAGAAAAAAAACTAACAAGTACTTGTGTAATACACGAACGTTGTACTAGTATTAATAAATAAAAAAAGTCATCAAATCAGCAATCCAGGTGACGTTGGGTCTTGACCTGTCTTTTATAAAAATGAGAAACTTGTTATATTTCAATTGAACAAATGTATTTTTCTAGTTTATAGAAAAATACTAAAATTCGTATTTTTTATTCGCTAGAAAATACAAAATAAAGACCAATTTTAATATATTTTAGATCACAATTATAAATTTTAAATAAGTTAAAATAAATTAAATATTTAAATTAAGTTCGGTGGGAGATAAAGACAAGTTGACGTGTAAATAGGATTGTATAGGTAGAGAGAGCAACAATATTTAATTATTAAATAAAGATAGTTTTAGGACAAATTTGCTAATAATATAATTACCGCAATACTCGTGTATGTCGCCTTTCAAGCACAAGTGTAGGGATGGGATCACATGCAAAAGTAAACGGTGGTATCTATCGATAATCGTCGCCTTGAAATAAATATACTAAAAATCGTGTTCCAACTTCTAGGTCATACCAAATTGAGTATTTTAGATTTGATGTAGCATTTTTAGGATATGTATGTGTTCTTTGAATGTGACTTTAATTAATTAAATTATTGGCGCAAGTTGCAGTTAGTTGGTCAGATTTGGAATTTTGCTTTGGTTGTGTATATGATAAACTAATGGAAAATGATAAAATTATACACTATTTATATGTATATATTACTAATAAAATTCTCTATAAATAGCCTAAAAAACATTTGGTTTTGCGAAATTTACATCTTCCCTACTAAAAGTTCTACATATTTGTAAAACAATTCAATTTTTCTTTTGAAATATCTATGAGATAGTTAGATTGAAACATAACAATAAACACTTTCGTATTATCATAAATAAATTATAAATTAAAGTATTACATCTCAATTAAATCTCAAAATGTGTTAAACTTAGATGACAGACTCGTCGTTTCGAGGTGTCTTATTTGACAAACTGTCATGCTTCGTCTCCTGACACGATAAAAATTAGAATATATATGATTGCAATCCCAAAAATATAGACTTTGGAGTACTTTAAATATAATTGGTATCTAAGATACTATTTATAATTATTAACTATATTTGTGGATTTTATGAATGAATAATTAACCAATGAATGAAGAAAACTCGAGCTTCATTAATGCAAAAATGATGAGATACAATAATTTATATCTATTATCTCGCACATGCTCTACACACTTTCTCCAACATAACTAACCCGCTTAATAGATGTCCGACATGTGGACGACAAAGATGCCAAAAAAAAAAAAA